AGGCTCAGCTTGGTGGCACAGTAGAGATAAACATGAGCCCTAGCGTGAAGGTGTGGCTTCTCCTGTTCACAGTATCAGCCCAAGCCTAGCTGCTGAAGTCACCACAGCTGCCATAGCTCCAAGCAGTCAGGGCACACGTCCTTCATCTCTTGTACCTCCTGATGACACAGTGGCCATGCCTGAGTCTGGAGGAGGGGCTGAGCCACGCCAGGCAGGACTGGCAGCTCAGGGCTCCCCAAACAGAAATGTGCCAGGCCGTCAAGAGTAACAAGAAGAGGGATTTGTTCCACTCTGGTGCTTTTCCTGGGGCCAAAGGCTGCACCCCACCCACCAAGTACTGAAGTGCAAAGTTGGAAACGAAACAGAGGAGACAGGGAGTAAGTTCAAGGAGATAATTGGACAGATGAGAACTGTCGTTCTCTTTAAACCCTGGAACTCACATTGGCTTTAAAGGAAGAAAATACAAAAGTCAAAGAAAAAAAAGTTGTTTCAAAAGACCATTGAAGATAAAAATATCGCTTATGTAAGTGGAAGATAGCTGTTTCTTCATCTTAATTAGCTGGAAGTCAGTGCTGTGCTGCAGGGGGCATCGTACCATGTGGGTGAATCCACACTGTGCTGGAAAGACTACGCAACACCTGCTGGTCCCCTGTATTCATCTCAGTGGAGAGAGAGTCAGGGCCTGGCTTGCTGGTGTTGCGGATGGTGCTTGTTATGATGATGGTGGGCAGGCGCTTGCCCACCTGCGAAGAGGACTGTGGGGCTGGCATGCCCGCCTTTCCTAACTCAGAAGACCTTGTCCTTTTCATCCATTTCTTTTGGATACTAGTTGAAGCCGGGACATGCTTTCCCGATGCTCTGGGTCTTCTCACTTACTCTCTCTGAAGCTTTACCCTCCACCCTTTCCTGCCCTGCAGCTGCTTACCAAGCTCCATTGCTGAGTCCAGCAGACTTTCTTGGACCCCAGCTTAAAAGGCACGATTTTCTTTCTGTCTTTCAGGTGGCTGCCATGTTTTACAGCCTGACTGTCCTGCTTTTTTTTTTCCTCTCAAATTTTAATAAAATTGTCCTCAAGCTTTAAAAAAAATTTTCTTTTGCCTGATGAGAGAGTGTGGAGGGTACTACGGAGGAGGCCACATTGTTGGGAGGTGTCTTGCTTTCTGCCTCATAGATGTTTGTGTCACTACGTGTGACTCGAATTTCAAGTCCCCGTTGTGAAGCACCTGGCATTTCTTGGGTGATGTGTAAGTACAGCTCTCAGTGACCTTTACAGGACACTCGGACAACTGCTGACTTGTAGAATTATGATTTGTGTACTTTCTTGTGGGTGTTCATCACACATTTGAGGTAAGACCTGCCACTTCAGAAAAGCTATGCAGTGTTTTCCTCCCTTCTTCTGAGTTTCCTGCCCTTCACTCCGAAAGAAGGGAGCCTCACAAAGACTAGCTAATTAATTAAGGCATTAGAGGCATATGACAAGGTTGCCCTGAGGTCACGTGAGCTAATGAATGGTGTGAGATGCTATGGCTGGCATTCTATGGAGGACAGCACATTCATGTACAACGGGTACTACAGAATAAACAGAATTTTAGCCAGCCCAAGGCTAAATGTTGCATTAGCAAGAAGCAAGCCTTTGTGGCTGTACTTGACTTGACTTGTTACTGAGGTAAAATGTCACTGTGTGCAGGAGAATTGTTCATGGTGGCAGACCCTTCATGAGACTGAAAAAATGATCCTTCCACGTTAAGTTTGGGAATTGCTCTTTGAGTGCAGCAAAGCCTGCTGGGAGTGGGCGTGACTAATTTCTGCCCCTGAAGGAGCTCATAGACCCTCAGAGAATGAGGGTAGAGAACTTCAAAAAGTGGGGGCAGGGTTATACGAATAAATAGCAAGACAGCAAAAGCAGCAAACTATCACAGGAAACCTAGAGAGCTGTGTTGGCCTTCCAAGACAGGAACAAGGGACAGGCTCTCCTCTGGGGTCTGGGCCCTTGTGCTCCTCTGGAGTAGAATTCTCCTTGTGTGTCCAGAGGCACCCATGTTAAGTCACCTTGACTATGTCCTGAGTTGAGCAGTTTTATGGGAATGTGTACTCAGAGCTCAAAGTTCTTAAAGTCCCCACAGATAAAAACCCAATGACAAACTAAAAATCAAGCAAACTGCAAACAGGATCCACAAATACAACCTATGGAGAAATGACAGGCCTCCAAGTGTTCAGATATTGGGATACTAAGAATATGAAATTATTGCATCAAAAGTACCTGAGTAAATAAGAAGGGCAATTAGAAACATAGATAATGAGAAAAATATTATAAAAAAGACAAGCCCTGATATATTTGTCGAAAACATCTATTAGAATTCAAGAGCAGCAGTGACATGGATTGTTCACAGCCTGAGAGCCAGCAGGAAAGTGGCGCAGAGGAGAGATGAGAGGTGAGATCAAGTGACTAAGAGGCAGAGGAGAGAGGCACGGGTCTTTTAGAAATTCGGGACAGAAGAGCAAGAATTGGGAAACTCAACATCCAAAGAGATAAAGATCCAAGAATTTTCTAGAACTGATGAAAAAATGTTACTCCTTAGTTCTAGAAACTTGGGGATGTGTGTGAAAAATAAATACCTTCACAAGCACTGAAGCAAATCCTAAAACACCCATGATGAGAAGAGGGCAACAGAATGGAGAGAAAAGGAAAATCACCCACAAAGCATGACGAAGGGCAGGGAGCCAACCTCTTGGGAACAAAAGAGGAAAGAACTGTTTGGTGGAGGGCTCCTGGATAATAAAGGCCAAGTGCTTCCCATCACTGCCTTCCTCTAAAGGAAGAATTGAAGTGTGTTCTCTGACCGAGGGAGGGAGAAGGGCTTCCCATGGGCTGATGGGTTGGGGAGGTAAGGGCAGCCAGCTACAAGCTCTGGGAGAAGAAAATGAGCTTTGGCTGTGCAGTGGTGATCTCCAGCAGAGGAGAGTTCAGAAAGCAACTGGGCTACAAAGCCCGGTGAGCTAGAGGAGAGATGATGGTCACACCGCTCCGAGGCTGAACTGTAGGAGTGAGTCATAACAACAAATTAATTTGTAATTTCTGTTAACTAATGGACACACAGTAACTCTACACTCATGTATCCAGCTCTGAGCTGTTGCATTATTTCAAGACTAACCCATCCAGCTTCATGCTTGTCAAACCCATCTCTATTGTGGATAAGGCATCTAAAAATTCTAACACTATAATATGACATGGGACAAAGACTGTGGAGGGGAAGGAACTAAGGCAGGAAACACAGTAACTTGGGAGTGATACGACGTTAGGATGGTCAGGAGAAAACCCTGTGAGAAACTGACCTTGGAGCAGAATCTTGCAAAAGTCAGGAGAAAGGTCTCTGGAGGGGGCTCTAGAACATTCCAGTGAAAGAACAGCAGAGGGAGCAGCTTGTAGGAAACAGAACAGAGATGCCAAGTGTCCAGGGAATGTCAACAAACCAACTCACTTGGATCCATGACAGCAGCAAACAGAGATGGACCAAACTCACCAGTAAGGAAACAGATGGGCACATTGGATTTGAGTCTCTCATTTATGTCCTGCTCTGAAGATATCACAGCATGGGGCAGAAGTGCAAAAGGACAGGAGACAGAAGCAATCCCCTAAGCCATGGCTCATCTAAACAAGGGCAGATGAAACCTGCCAAAGGCAAACCGAGACAAAATGTATATCACAACGCAAACCATACCTCACACTAAAGCAAAAATGAAACCCCAAGTCCCCACCACAGGATACCCTTTAAGGACATATGCATATATCACATGTACATTTGGAAATAAGCCATGTACCACACAGTAAGGTGGCTGTGGTGGAGCTTGTGATTAGACAGTATATGAAATGGCTTCAAGGATATTGATACGTTTTTAAGCATTTGAAGCTGGGAGGTGCACTTGTGGGTATGATATGATCTTATTATATACCCCTCACATCGAAAATAATCCATAGAGGGCTGAGGAGATGGCTCAGTGGGTAAAAGCATGTCCCAAGCAAAGCCGATGACCTGCGTTCTGTTCCCAGAGCCCATGGTGGAAGGAAGGAAGGAAGCAACTCTTGAAAGTTTTCCTCTGGCCACCATGAGTGCCAGCACCCACTCCCCCTACACACCAGTAATTAATTAATGAAAAGTCTACAGTACATGAAAACAAAAACAAGAGCAAAATCCCTATAATCCCTCTAAGTTCTTTCTGGGGATATCGATCACTGGTAGAGTGTTTGCCCAACATGTCCTAGGCCCTGGCTTCAACCAACTCCCAGAAACACACCACACACTACACACACACACACACACACACACACACACACACACACACACACACACCAGAACAAAACAAAATAGAAACCCCAAGGCTAAACCACTCTCCCAACCACTCCTATTACATATGACCTTTAAAGCAGAGCTCGGAACAGAGCACCGTGAAGTTGCAGGTTGCAGAGCATTGCTGGGGAGAAAGGCCAGACAACTGATAACATCGCTCCATCCTCCTAGTGCAGGCAAGGATGTTTTTGGGAAGCTTAGATGAATGCTAGTAACGACTGACAATTCCAGTCCTCCACAAAATGGAGACAAAATCTTCTTGTAAGGGAGGGGGCTCCTTGCATTGAGCAGAGGAGCAAAGAACTAGCAGGTATGCAATGCATGACAGAAGAGCATCCCAAACAGCATGGAAGAAGAGAGCAGACTCCCCAAGATAAAGCAGCTTCTGCCTCACCATTGTGCACACTTTCCTGAAGTCCTGGACTGTGCTACTTGCCAATCTCCTGGGCACAGAGCTTCTCCAGGAACACCCTTCCCTACCCTTCTGTGCTTACTCTTCCTCCGGCCTTGTGTCCAGCGGTCGTGGTCACTCACACACTGGAGGACGCTGGCATATTTGAAAGTGATATAGTTACTCCCTACCTACACCGAGTACATGCAAAGGCAGGCTTTTCTTTAGATGTGCACTACCAGATAATCAACTGTTTCTCGTTGGTGTGCCCTGGTTTCAGCAGTGGTGGACGTTCCACACACTCACATGACTCTTTACAAACCCAGCATTGTCAAGGCTTCCGTTTGTGTCACTCAGATGAGTAATGGCTGGTGGAAATGATTGATCCCCGAGGTGAGCGCAGGGCAGGCTCTTAATGAAAACTCACGCAGGCGGTGCTCCTTTCATCCCTGCCTCTTCCCTCCCTAGCTTGTGACTGGATGAGGGAGCGGAGCAGGGAGCCAGCGGATGTCACAGAACCTCCGGTAGCAGGACAAGCCTGTGATTTTCGTGGGGTTTATTTCTGCTCTTGCTGGGAGCGGGAAAGACCAAAGGTACCAATTGACAGAAAGGCTGCGCAGCTTGTCGCCTCAGCCAGTTGCGCACAGGAGCGCACTCAGCTTGGCTCTCGGTGCGGACAGTCGCCCTGCGGGACCGGGAGGACTGCACTGAGAACAGCGCTCCAGTTCCAGCAAGGAGGGTGAGGGCGCCCAGGCTCGGAGAGCAAGCTGTGGTTTTTCGGGCTGGACCCGAGAGGCACAGAGGGGACGCAGCTGAGTCCTCACTGTCCCTCCCGTGCAGCAGAAACTCTGCCCGCCGGTGGGAACCCCGAGAGAGGTTCGCCCTGCAGAGGACCTGGGAGAAGGCAGTCTCAGCGCCAGCGCGGCAGGGAGGTGTGGGAAGCTCTGCGACTCTCTGCGCTCTCCAAGGTGTGTACCACAGAGCTCTGGGAGCTCGGCTGGAAGAGGCTCAGAGCAACAGGTGCGACCCCAAGGCGCTGCTGGAGAGAGGGGACACCGCCGGCAAGGGATTAGAACCAGTAAGGCGGAGAAGAGTCTCCACCTGCAGGTCGCCTGGACGAGTCCCACCCGCCCAGCTCGCGGACTGCTAGCAATCCGAGTAGCCCAGACCGGTACCTCCTGTGTTCTGGAGCCTGCCGCCCACACATGGGAAGGCTCAACTCCGTACTGGCAACACCACCCCCTCTCTAGCCAGGTCGGGCACAGAGGACATTTCTACCAGGCACGGCCCGGGGCGCTGCCCCCCTGCTCTCTTGTCAGGTGCGGGAGATTCTAGCTGGAGACATCCACTCTCGCTGCTCTGTGCTGGACCACTCGGTGATCCTCCGCTACCCCTCGAGCCGGCTTTCTCTGCCTGGCACGCCTTCCCAGCACGCTCCGTTGAGTAGACACCCAAGGGGTGTCCCAGTAAGTGATGGAGCTGGCTACATTGAACCTCAGCGAGGGGAACGGGAGCGATCCAGAGCTTCCCACCGCGGAGTCCAGGCTGCTGTTAGGTATCGGCGTGGAGAACTTCATCACGCTGGTGGTGTTTGGCCTGATTTTCGCGATGGGCGTGCTGGGCAACAGCCTGGTGATCACTGTGCTGGCGCGCAGCAAACCGGGTAAGCCGCGCAGCACCACCAACCTGTTCATTCTCAACCTGAGCATCGCAGACCTGGCCTACCTGCTCTTTTGCATCCCCTTCCAGGCCACCGTGTACGCACTGCCCACCTGGGTGCTGGGCGCCTTCATCTGCAAGTTTATACACTACTTCTTCACTGTGTCCATGCTCGTGAGCATCTTCACCTTGGCCGCGATGTCTGTGGACCGCTACGTGGCCATTGTGCACTCGCGGCGCTCCTCCTCCCTCAGGGTGTCCCGCAATGCGCTGCTGGGCGTGGGCTTCATCTGGGCGCTGTCCATTGCCATGGCCTCGCCAGTGGCCTACCACCAGCGCCTCTTCCATCGGGACAGCAACCAGACCTTCTGCTGGGAGCACTGGCCCAACCAGCTCCACAAGAAGGCTTATGTGGTGTGCACTTTCATCTTCGGCTACCTGCTGCCCTTACTGCTCATCTGCTTTTGCTATGCTAAGGTGAGTGGGGAGCGCCCTCCAGGCTCTGATGCAGCTCTTCCTGTCCCCCCCGACTGAGCCTGGCATCCTGCTCCTCTGTTCTCTTTCCCTTCCTACTCCACTTTGTCTCAGTTTGCTCCGACATGATTTGTTGCTCAAGAAAGTTAATTCAAGAGTTTGAGAGGTGCTGGGGAGAGTTTGCAGTTCCTGTCTAGAAGTTGGGTAGAGGGACTTTCCTTCAGGGGCGCTGCAGCTCTGCCTCCGATCGCCCGCCTCGCAGGCAGCAGTGTGTCCCAGATCTGCTGCCCAAAAGGTTTGAACCTCCTCAGTTTCAGCAGCTTTTAAACAAGATCTGTGGACTCCAAGAAACTAACACAACAGGACAAAGCGGGCTGCAGAGAGCCTGTGCTTCCTCTAAGAGCCAGCAGGGGTCTAGTTGCCCCTCTTAGCTCTTTGCTAAGACCTGCTGGTGTGGCCCCTGGAGCAGTGCTCTTCCCAGGTAGCACGTTGGCTTCTGCACCTCAGCAGGTTTTCGGAGTCCAGGCTCTGTAAGCCTCTGCTCAGGCCAGGGCTTTGAACTTTAGTTTAGCATTCTAAAATCCAAGTGGGATGCTCTACTTCTCCAAAGAGACTTGACTGAAGTTCCCAGGGAACCATGGGTGGAAGGACAGGTGTTTCTTCCAGCAAGGTTGTGTGAACAGTGTTAGGGATTCATGTGGTGAGCTCACTCAGGAGAGGGATAGCAAGAGCACACAGCTGGGGAGCTGCATACTCATCCTGTCTTCGTGTATTCTGAAGGACCTATGGCTCACAACTCCTAAAGAATTACAGAGTGATGGGCGTTTATGTTAATCAAAAGCCTTAAACCTCTTAGGCACTACTTAATTTCTAGTAATCCAGAACCTATTTTTAGTGGCTACTTGATGTGACTCTTGGGGTTACCTCAGTGTCATATTTCCTTTCAGGGTGCTATCAGAACCAGCAGAGGGAAAAAAAATTCCCTGCAGGGCAAATTCTAAAGTTTCCATGCAACTTATCCTTCCCCGACTCCCGATCTTTTGGGCTGTGACAGTAGGACCATAAATAACCACTTGTCTAGAAAAGCAATGGTTTCTTACATTCCACCCATAAGGCACATCTCCCCCAGAAAAATCCATTTAAAGGGAGCCATCTTCCTGGCATCTAGATGACCAGTGTGTCTTTTGAATGTCTGTATTTCCTGAATGAGTGCACTGGTTTCAGAACTGCAAGGGCAGCCTAGCTATTTGGAGGTAGCTGGTTCATTCATTCATTCAGTCTTTTCAAATGCAAAGCAAAGGCTGCTCTGCACAGGGAGTTGTGGGGTACCGGCACACACCCATGAGCTTGTTCTGTGAGCCCTCTGGGTGGGAACTGCCATCTCTAGTTTATCAATAAGAAAGAGGATTTTCAAAGGGATACAGCCACTGACCAGATGGTCAGACTGGCAAAGGATTGAGGAAGGGTTTCCTTTCCGGAGGTGACAATTAATTGGTTCCTGGAGGACAAGGGGCTGGGAACTAGAGCCATATTTAAAAATATTGGTCTCTTAAATTCTAATTGCCGCTTTGAAAAGGAGACATACACTTTCTTCATTTCACCCCAAAGACCCTAGGGGGGAAAATCATTTCAGTCTTTGTGGAAATGAAAAAGTAAACTTTTAGGACTAAACAGGCTGTCAACAGAGTCTACGAAAGTTCCACAGAAGACAAAGTTTAAGAATTAATGAATAGCCGATCATTTAAATACCTTTCATCCATAGAAAGTTGGCTTCTCAGCAGTATTCTAGCTGGAAACACCTTCTGAGTCAATGTAAATACCTGCAAATTTATCCCAGGCCCTAGGAAGCTGGAGATAAGTTACCTGGACTGTTTTCTGGCAGGCACTAAGTAGGTGTGATTAGTTAGTGACTCTGAAACTTCAGTGATAGGTTCAGAACTGACTGTGTATGTCCAAGAACTGGGCTGATGGCCAGTGTGAACAACCACAGATGGCCAAAATAGCACTTGAGATTACCATGCCTTTTAGATTTTTTTTCTTTTTAAAATCACTGAATGAACTGCATTCCAGAGGTGATCTTTCATCCATGTTTAGCAAGACAGTTCTTTGCACCTGAAAGACCCTGGAGAGCGCAGTGAGTTGGAGCAGCCCCGTGTTCCTGCAGATGGGTCCTGTCTGCACTGTAGGGCTCTTGCCCACCACTCTCTTCCTTCAGCATGCATTCTGCTTAGAACCCTCCTAGGTCTAAAGTGAGGACACATCCCTGTTATGCTCACTGTCTCAAGAGATGATAGCATAACTGACCCCAATGGCTATATTCTCTTCCTCAATGTCAGGACCGTAAGGTCTGTCACAGTATGCCATTGTGTGTTCATAGTCTGAGCTGTAGAAGGGAAACAGAGCTAAGAAAAACCTATTTAGAATCATCTCTGTGGACTAGGACCCAGCTTAGTTGGTCTGATTGTGTAAACTTGAGTAACATCGAGAAGTAGGCCACCGATGCTCCTGTAGTGATTTTTTTTTTTTTTGCATCTCCTGTATCCTTTTCCCTCTGTGACCCATAGTATTGCAATCTCTGGTCTTCAGACAACTTCCTTTAGGAGTTCAGCATCACTGGTGATTTATGACTATCTTGCAGGTTTTCTACTTAGCATATCTGTCAGAGAGATAAGCTAGCTTTAATAAGTTTGCAGATATTAACATCTACGCAAAAGATGCTTCCAGCTGGAATAGCTGCTTAGAAGCCATTCTGTTCTCTTGCCACTGTTCTGCCTGGAGAAATGACGTGAATGTTGCTGTTATATATGGGAATTTACAAACACGCCAGCTGTCGTCAGCTGGCTGGTCCGTCCTGACTGCATCCGCAGGCTCCTGGCTCCGGCCCTCGCCTTCCTCTTACGGCAATTTTCCTCATTGCTGCTGTTGAAAACTCCTCAGTTCCTGCCTTCCACGTACTTTCTGTAGGCAGAACAGAGCTACTTCACAGTGTATCAGGGAGCTATCCACTTGCTCCCACAACAACAAAGCCTTGTGTGGCCGAGAGACACTGAAGTGTTTTCAGCAGTGAGAAACGTCTCAGTAGGGCAGGAAATCTGAGGACAGATTCGCACGGAAGACGGCTGCTAGGTTGGCTGTTCTGGCTGTGAGGGTGGGGAGGGCTGGTAAGTGAATCCTGAGGTTTCTCAATTAGGACATGACTGATGGTGCTGCTTCCAGCAGAGTGGAGCAGGCTTCGGCAGTAAGGCCAATTCAATTAAATTATTTCCATTCTGCGGTGTTGGAGGGAAGCATCCAAGTGGCTGGAACATGCCTCCGTGTCCTGAGAGCCTCTTCAGAAACCCACAGACCACTTCAAGCCCTTTGCCATTTATTCAATTTATTCCATCAGATTAAAAAACAAACCTGGGACCAGCTCTGCAGGGTAGCCAGCGGTGGAGCAAGTTCAGATTGTGAATTTTGTGTGTAACAGCAACAACAACATTCACATCCTTTCTCCCAAATAGGACAGTGGCAAGAGAACAGAATGGCTTCCCGATTTATTAAAGTTAGCTTATCTCCCTGACAGTTATGGTAAGGGTAAAACCTGCAATCACCAGTGATGCCGAATTCCTAAAAGGGAGTGTCTGAAGACCACACAGTGTTTGAACTGTATGAAAAAGGATGAGCTTTGCTGACTTGCGTTTGCTCTAGGAGACTTGTAATGGGTGGGGTTCATAGCAAGCCCCAGAAGCCGGTGCAGATCTGGGGAGCCACACGAGTAACTGTCAGGCTGTAGTCTCTTCCTGTTCACTTGGTTTTCTCCGCTGCATCATGAACTCCCACAGCCCGGGACTCTAGTTTTCAGTGTGTCTCTGCGCTGTCCTTGTGCCCCATTTAGAGTAGGACCTGGTGCTTTTAGGCATGTAGATTCTTGGGCAGGTAGAGCAGTGGACTGCAGGAGTAAGTCCCACCTCCACCCCAGGTGAGGCTCTTTCTCCAAGAAACTCTGAGCATGCTAGCGTTCTCCATGGCTCTGTCCATGTCTGGGTGTGGTCCGTCGTCCAGGGATACCTCTGAACATATTCAGCGGCTTTGATTCAGGGCTGTGTTTTATCTAAGATGTACTTCTATTTTCATTGTTTTATAAACAGCAGTATTATCATACCAGAATGTTCGATGGTTGTCACTGGAAAAGAGACGATGTGTAAGTATGCATGAGGTAAACCTGTTTTATCTGTGTTCCTTTGACAGGTTCTTAATCATCTGCATAAGAAGTTGAAGAACATGTCAAAAAAGTCAGAAGCATCCAAGAAAAAGGTAAGATTCACAAACAGATGCTGCATCTGTCAAGTTCTGAGAGCTTAACTTGTTTTTGTTTTAAATTATCTTCACATCCATTCACAGGTTGAAAACCAGTTGTCCGAGATGGACACTTTTGTGAACTGTGACTGTTAAGGGGGTAGGGTGGAGAATAAGTCAGGCCAGGGAGATGTGTGGCAGGCAACCACCATTCAGCTGTGTTGGACAAAGTGGGGAGGCCAGGAAAGACAGACTTCCAGAGGTCAGACTTAGGTCCTGGGAGAGTACAGAGGGGCTTGTGATGTAACTTGCATGTTTAGCAAACAATATCTTAAGCGTGATTTGAAGCTATCAGTTGGATTCTCGTCTGTGAAAGCTTTGGTGTGTTGCTCTCTTCAGCCCCAAGAGCAAAGTCAGTAGCTTTAGCTCTTCTCTGGACTTGAACTGACTTTGGCACAGAGGGGCCAGAAAGACAACTTGCGGGGTCCCACCCCTCTTTAATTGTTTTCCTCATGCAGGGACTCCCATTTAATGCCTTCTGCTGAGTCAAGTTAAAGCTTCCAACTCTCTGGGATTCACTGCATTTTCATTCATTGAGGAAAAGCTGTTTTACATGCCAGGATTAATTTATCTTTTACTCGGATGAAATTCATGTGATTTCTAGGTTTAGACAGTGGAATGAAATTATTAGGCAATTTGATTAGAGGGAGGATAACCAGACATTTTAACGCACACACATTACCAAAAATATCTTAAAATACCTTGTTTTTCTTTCTAAATACTTACTCTGATCAATTATATATATTATGTAAATAATCATTCAGATAATCATATTTACTCTAAAAGTTTTGACTTAAGTAAAGAAGAACCTGCTCTGACTTCCCTGTTTATCTTCATCAATGTGGAGGAGTTCCACTCCCCTAACACAGCCCCAAGAGTTTGTAGACAGTCTTGCCATGCAACTCTAGCTGTCCTGGAGCCTGTGATGTAGAACAGACTGTCCTTGAACTTGCAGTGATCCTTCTGCTTTTGCCTCCCAAAGAAACGCCTTTCCTCTCAGCAGCTCAAAATAACTTGCACTTGGGATACCACCCTATCTATCTATCTATCTATCTATCTATCTATCTATCTATCTATCTATCTATCTATCTATGTATCCATCTATCTATCTATATATTTTTTTACCAGCTGCCTAAGAATAAATGACTATCTCAGCCTTCTGCCCCAGCCCTTCCTTCCATCCCAGCAGTCATTAGTTGGGTTTAGTTTTAAGCTTGCAGATCTTTCTTTATAACAATTGATGAAGTATGAATTCTACGACGAGAATCAGCCCTGAATCCTGTGTCTCCTCCTCTGCTACCAATTCTGTATTTTAATGCAGCTTCCACATTCTCTTAATCTATTAGTTTTTTCTTGAAGCACCACTTCTCACCTCCAAGAAAACGAGTCCTTAAGAACAATTAAGGACTTGGTAGAATTTCTCCTTGGGAGGCTCTTCATAGACTGTAGGTACTGTGCAGGAACAAGATGAGCCCTGGTTTCTGAAAGGAATTGGCTTCCTTTGGGAGCCAGCATCAAGAGAAAAACATGGATGTCCAAATATGTTCAGTAGGATGAGTGTTTGGAGAGTAACGTCTTTCAGGGAGCTGGAGCGATAGTTCATTTAATAAAATGCTTGTCATGCAAGCAGGAGAAACCAAGTTTCATCTCCAGAATTCATGTTTAAAAGAAAAGAAGAGGGCTGGAGAGATGGCTCAGTGGTTAAGAGCACTCAGCTGCTCTTCCAGAGGTCCTGAGTTCAATTCCCAGCAACCACATGGTGGCTCACAACCATTTTTTGTAGAATCTGAAGACCTCTTCTAGCATAAAGCTGTACATGCAGATAGAACACTCATATACATTAAATAAATTCATAAATAAATAAACAAATCTAAAAGAGAAAAGAAAAGAAAAGTTGGACCTGGTGGTGTGCACTTGTGATCTCAGAACTGGTGAGGCAGAGACAGGCAGATCCTTAGGGCTCCCTGGCCAGCATCCAGCCTATAGCACCCATCACCATCTATAGGCTGGTGAAAGACCCTGCTTAAGAAAAAAGCAAGGTGGACTGTTCCTAAAAAAAGATACCTGATGTTGTCCTCTGGCTTCCACAAGCATGTGCTCCCAACTGTGACCTATGCTTGTATGCGTGTGGGCATGCATGCACAGGTACACACACACACACAGAGACTAGAGAAGAGGGGCCTTATTGGGATTTAACAGTGAGGGAGATACCTACCAATTATGCTAAATATTTAGTATTAATTCAAAAGAGTTAAGCCAGGCGGTGAAATCCTCTAATCCCAGCTACTTGGAGAGCCGAGATAGCAGGATACCAAATCTGGAGTTCAAGGCAAATCTGAGTCACTTAGCAAGACATAATTTGTCTAAAAATACAAAGTAAATTGAAAAGGGCCGGGATGCAATTTCACGGTAGAGCCTATCCCTGACCTGCATGAGGCCTGAGGTTTAATTCCTATGACTATAAAGCAAGAACAAGTTTATTCTGATTGAGAAGATGCAACTACTCTTCTTAAAGAAACATTCGCTTATTCTCATCCTTGTCTTTGAAGAGATGTTGATGGGAAGCTAAAAAGGTCCCAGAAAGAACAATATGTTTAAAGGGATGATGCACGGCCTTGTAAGAGAAGATGAGGAAAACCTCGCTTTTATTTCATAACGTAGAATAAATGGTCATTTTGTAAGCATGTGCACATGTAAAATGAATACCTATTTATATAAAATCCTTTGCTCATTCCTACTCTATAAGGAAGAAAGTTTAATCAATGAGAAGGGAGATGTTTCTCCTCCCTTCTCAGACTCTAACCCCTCATGGCTGCTGAACAGATGTCGGAGCTCGTCTGGCAGATTTAATTGCCTTTTTGTTTGCATAGAACAAATACACATGACTGTGGGGTGTGTGTGTATACGAAAGAGGTAGGAAAGAGATGACTGGGAGGGGGAGCAACAGAGAGGGCAAGAGAGAAGCAAGGCGATGAGGAGAAGGAAGACAGAGGAGCAGTAAGAGACTGAGGTAGAAAAGAGCCATCCTGGCAGAGAGCAGCCCAGCCCTCAGCATTCCATCACAGAAGGTCTGCTGGGGACCCTTTGTGGATCTCAGCACAGGTCATCAGGACACCCATGCTCAATGCTGACTATATGAGGGACGATGTGGGACTTTGATGGAGGCTGATGTAATACACATCTTGATGGTCAATGGCTGTACGGCTTACCTTGTTATTGTCATCAAATATCCGAAAGGAAGCGATTCAAGGGAGGAAGGATTGTTTGGGTTGAGAGTTCAAGAGGTGGAGAAGACGTGGTGGCAGAAGCATGAGGTGACTGGTCACACTGTGTCATCATTCAGAAATCAGAGAGGGGCAGGAAGTGGGGCTGAGCTGGGACACCTCAAGGTCTGCCCCCCCCCCCCCCCCAGTGACTGACTTCTTGCATTTAGGCCCTACCTCAAGGCCCATCCTCAGCTGGGGACCAAGGCTTCAAATCTGTGAGCCTTGCTTAGAGGACATTGCACATCAAACCACAGTCATGGGTGGATGGGAAATGGGTTCCCATGGAGAATGGGTCAGCGGAGTAGAGATTTTGGTAGTGTTCTCATTTTGATAACATTTATTTCCAGGCCTGCTCAGTTGCTTAGCAGTTTTCTGTCAATGTGCTGTACTCATTTGTTAATGTGACAAGGACAAAATATCCCACAGTGTGTAGCTTATAAACAGTAGGAATCCATTTCCTATAGTTCTGGAGGCTGGAAGACCAAGGTTAAGCTCTGGTAGATTTTTGGCCCCAGCCTTCTCTTTGCATCCATCAATGCTGGATGGAGTGGGTGGCACTCTGGGCTCTTTTATAAGGACAATGACCCCACTATGAAGGGCCTTTCCTTCATAGCCTCATCCTCTCTCAGTGGCCTGACCTCTAGATACCATCATCTTGGTGATCAGATTTCAACCCATGAGTCTGGGAGATGCACACAGTCACATCACCAGACAGAGTGATGTGTGAGTTCTATCACTGTTATGAAGGGCAATCCCAGCCCTTTGTGATTGTCACATTGGACAACTATTTACGTATGGTGGAAAATGCAGGAAGAAGGTAAGATTTCTTTTCAGGAACAATTGACTTTTTTTTTAATGTGTATGTATTCTGTACAGGCATTTTGCCTGTATGTATACCTGTGCAGCATACGTGTGCAGTGCCTTTCAAGGCCGGAAGAGGGTTTTGGCTCTCCTGGGACTGTACTGAGAGTTGTGGGCTGCCATATGGGTATTAGAATTGATCATAGGTCCTCTGGAAGAGCAGCTGGTGTTCTTAACCACTGAGCCATTTCTCCAGCCCCGCAGTAATAATTAAAAGCTTAATAACCTATTAAGGATTTTGCTTAAGCGCTGCTAGGCAGAAAGAGATGCTTCTGGCTTGAAGCTGGCTGGCCTGAGAGAAGAACCTTAGGTACCACAGAGAGGATGAGCTAGGCAGCACATAGGGTAGGTGCTCGGGGGAAACCTTGTCGAAGGTCCACTGATGTCCTATGAACTTCTGGGCTCTTTCAATAGAAGCGCTTTTGTCGTTATTTTCTGATTTCCTGGCTTGACAAGTGAGCTTTCTGGCTGTTGCTGACACCACTTGCATGGGGCTTTTCATGTCCTCACCTTGAGTTCATTCATGTCCTCACCTTGAGTTCATTCATGTCCTCACCTTGAGTTCATTCCTTCCTCCCCAGCCCAGTTCTGTTCGACACATTGTGAGTGAGGCTTTGAAGAAAAGGCAGATGTCTCAGACTGCTTGAAGAGAGCAACTCGCTTCTCAAGGGAGACTAATATATACTTTTTAGACGGGTCCAGTGTAAGAAAGAAAGAGAAATCACTCTAATAAAGGGCCAAATCTCAAGTGTGTATACTGCTCCTCTGTCAAAGGTAGTTAGGGTTCTGTGCTCCAAATGTGTGAATGACGTCAGTAATGTATACGCTGAGTATCATACCATCCCTGGTAAAGACAAAAGGTTTTGTAAGAAACAGGGACACAGTGTTGGAAGTGAAGATTAAAACCTCCCTTTTCATGCAGAGCAGCGTCTCTGTTGCAGCCTAGTGCTTCCCATGCAGGGGAGTCCATGTTACATTCTGATACTCAGAGGGATACAGCAGAGGCAGCTTCCCTTGCTTTGTCTAGGAGCAGACATGCTTCTGCCGTGGGAGCTGTCAGGATCAAGTAAAACCTCTTTAATTGCTTTCACTTAAGGTCCATGGGATAACCCCAGTTTTATTGTGGCTTTTATGCAGTTCATCAGGGATTCAAAAAGCTTCTGAGCTTTGTAGAGAGGCAGATTCCAAGGTAACTATCTAATACTATTATCCACTGAGTCAGTCGTAGTGACAGGGCCCAGAGTGCTCTTGGGTAATGATGGGCACACTGACCTACCACAGTCCAGGAGCTGGGATTAGAACACATCCATTATTCTGAATAGATCTTTAACTTTGAGCTGATGTATTCTAGACATATTGCTTTTTGAGTTATATACTCGAGGAGCCGTCATCCATCAAGAAGGACAGTTTCTAATCAGGGCAGAGTTTCTACTGCTCAGTTCTGCTCTTTCCAGCTCCACTAGCATTTCTTAAATGAGTAATAAATAAGTAAATAAAACTAATGGAGGAGGAGGAGGAGGAGGAGGAGGAGGAGGAGGAGGAGGAGGAGGAGAGGAAAGCAACACCCACTCTTGGGGAATATCTGGCTTTTCATACTACTGTGGCTGAAGTGGAGTGAACTCAAAGACTGGGCCCAGGACCCAGGGCTTGTATGAAGGACACAGACATGTGAGACAGGTAAGAACATCAACTCAGGTGGACTTTGGTGCTTAAAGAGACACACAGGAGAGAGTAGCTTCTCTGAGATTCCCAGCTGGACTGTTGTGGTGCTCAGAAGCATTCTAGCTGTCATAGGAGCAGTCTTGGGTAGATGATAGTTCATATGAATATGAATATAGTATTTGTTCATAATATTTGTATCATAAATTATTAGGTACTTGCATTCAAAGCTGCCAATTGACCACGAAAAAGAAACTGGCTCATATGCATGTTTCTGAGAAAAGCCGAGGGATTGCAAACATTTAGAGGTCATGTTTGGGTAAATCACAAATGCTCAGGGAAACAGCTGCCATAAAAACTATTGCATACTCAGGGCACACAGCCATTTGCATTTCAGATCTTGATAAGATATGAATCTTACCTGTAGGCTGCCAAGGTGTAGATCTGCTCTTAGCTTTGTACTTAGCCCATGTTTCCTAAAAGAAGCAATGACGTGCATTGTTGACAGGGTGATACTTTTGTAGAGAGATAGCCTGATCATCTTTGATGGAGGAAGCTATGTTCTCCTGTGTTGTGGATATAATCATTTCTAGATTGTTTGACGAAATCACCAGAGTGGCAGTTCTCACACACTAATGGGCAAATGGATTGATAGCAAACACTTCCTTAATATATGTGAGCTAATTACGTTTGCTCTGTAGCCCAGGCTGTAAGTGGACTTAATAGGCAAGCTTTCACTTTGTAACACCTGCCTGTGAGTTTTTAATAGATGAGCTGGTTTAGTGCTCACATGATCCAGGCACAATCTGGGAATCATTTTGATCATTGATTTCCTTCATTAACGAGGAAATCAAGTCTTGTGGGGCGGTTTTGTCATCTCCAAAGATGATCAATAGACCTACTGTCTGGCCAGTATGTCTTGCAAAATCCATGATGCCTCTTGATAGTGAGTTTAGCTTTCTTCTCCTGTCCCTCATGCCTCCTAGTATTTGCTGGTTTTGACCTGAAATCCAGCTAGTCCCTTCTCTACCTTCTATGTCAGAAGTCTGGTCATTCCTACTGGTTTTTAACCCTCCTCAGTGATGAACCTTCTATTGCTGTCTTAGCTCATTGCCAAGAATCAGTCCTGGAGATGTTGCTACCATGTACTATATTTCAGACTTCACATAGAACAATAGGATCCCCTTTTATAAGAAGCAGTAGAGGAAGTCCTGCCATGAACTACATTCCTATCAGCAGTGTCCTCTACAAAAGGTCTTCTGAGGTTTGCCCTTCTTTCTAGATGGGTGGCCAGTTGGGAGGCCTTGCACAGTACATGGCTCCATCAGTTTGTGTGCCCTTGTGTTGAGATCACAAGCCCATGACAGTTTTGTTGTAGAATATTATTTTAAGATGTGTTACTTTTGTTTATGTTGCCTTTGTTTAACTCTATGAAGCTATGATACTTTGCCTGTCTAAAACATCTGATGATCTAATAAAGAACTGAATTGACCAATAGCAAGGCAGGAGAAAGGATAGAAAGGGCTAGCAGGCAGAAAGAATATATAGAAGCCAGCCTGGGCTACCAAGTGAGTCCCAGGAAAGGCGCAAAGCTACACAGAGAAACCCTGTCTCGAAAAACCAAAAAAAAAAAAAAAAAGAATATGTAGAAGGAGAAATCTGGGGTGAGAGGGACAGGAAGAAGTAGCCCGAGAAGGAGGATTCCAGGGGCCAGACACCCGGCCACACAGCCAACATGGAGTAAGAGTAAGATTTACAGATGTAAGAGAACAGGAAAAGCTCAGAGGCCAAAGGTAGACAGGATAACTTAAGGAAAGCTGGCTAGAAACAAGCCAAGCTAAGGCCAAGCATTTATAATTAAGAATAAGCCTCCATATGTGATTTATTTGGGAGCTGAGTGGTGGGCCCCCCCAAAAGAGCAAAAACAAACAACAACAACAACAACAACACAGTTTTCTCCTGTTGTCTGTTCAGTAGGAATTACTAAGAAACATGGGGACCCTGCCCAAAATTTTCGAGTGTTTTTGACTTAGGAGCAGCAGGAGTGTGGTCAAAGTTAAGCTAGCAATAGTCCTGGCTGGTCTACAGGCTGCACTTGGAATGACTCTGTGAGAATGTTAGCTCCCCAGTCTCCTTCTTGTCTTCAGTAATACTTAATGAGGAGAAACTAACATCTTCAACTTGTTGGTGTCAGTGTTCGTCTGAGCTCCAGGCTCTTGACAAAACTTGGCGTGTGCACGCTGGAAGAGACTTGCTGTTCTGTTGTTTTGTTCCGTGAGTCAGGGTCTTGTATTTAGGGGACACTGGTTCAGAACTCTGGTTCAGATCCTGCTCTGGATCTCTTGGCTGCTGGAAGAATTTTGCTAGTTGGAATGACAGTCCTTAATCTTATTCCTAACCTTTCTAATCTCATACTTTACCACATCCACATGTACTGAATACACGCCTAGGAGTCAGGACCCTGTAAGGTCTTGAGATGATGAACAGAGGTGTTATGTGAGGTCAAATTTAACCCTTTATTTGATCCCACTGAAGTACATAGGACTGCTATTGGGGTGTATTGTACAGTGTTGTGTTCTTCTGATGTAATTGGTGTATTCATGCAGCACCTGTCTCTTCTTCAACCCCCTACCATTACTCTTCTCTTCCAGACCGCACAGACTGTCCTGGTGGTGGTTGTGGTTTTTGGCATATCCTGGTTGCCCCATCACGTCGTCCACCTCTGGGCTGAGTTCGGAGCGTTCCCGCTGACCCAAGCTTCCTTCTTCTTCAGGATCACTGCCCACTGCCTGGCATACAGCAACTCCTCGGTGAACCCCATCATATACGCTTTTCTCTCGGAAAACTTCCGGAAGGCATACAAGCAAGTGTTCAAGTGCCACATTCGCAAGGAATCACTCCCCAGTGATACCAAAGAAAACAGGAGCCGAATAGACACCCCCGCCATCCACCAACTGCACCCACGTGTGAAGGTTCACTGGGGCCTCCTGCCCCCCCAGCTCCTGTGTGGGTTAGAGAGAAGAAGATATGGTGAACTATCATGAAACATGGCAGCTTGTTCTCCTGACAACAATTCATATCATTCTAACTACATTCCATGGCTGTTAAAGTATTTTCTTTAGGAACTTCTGGGTCCACTGAAGATTATTTTCCAATTTTGCTTCATTTTATAATTGTATTTTTGAAACAAAAGAAAATTCTGTACAGTTTGTGTCTTTCAAGGAGTGAGAGTCCAATAGCATTCTACAAATATGTTCAGATCTCCATGGAATAAGGCCAGTTCTGTAAAACAGTGAAGAATATTTGAAATCTACATTTTAAAGGCAGTTAATTTAGGGGAAAAGTTCTTTTTTCCCTTTAGTTTTGAGAGGAGAGCCAATATTCTATGCTGTGTGTTTTGAAATACAGTTGTGGTGCAGAATAATGGATTTTATTTAATTGAAACTTTGTGGACAGGCATCTTTCCTAAGTGGGGCAGAGGGGGTGGGGTGGCTTTTCAAGTCTGTTCTTATGGGTAGCCAGAGGTCTGTCTGGGAACATGAGACCCATTAAGTTCATCTCAGGAGAACAGCAGTGCCTCTACTTTGAAACAGTCCTGTGAACTGAGAAGTTTAGGGTGAATTAAGCAATGCCCAGGGACTCTGCTGAGGACCACCGGTCTGGAAGAGGCACCAGAGGGTGAGTCCTGACAAATGAAACTCTGTGCTGTGAGTGAAAACAAAGAATCATTTGGGAGAATATGTACACCTAGAGAAATGCTGTCTTGCACAGACATACTTTTTTTTTCATTAAACTTGTCCCAACAAATGTTTAATGCTCATTTTCCCTGAACGTTATTCCCTGGGGTAATGTTAATTTAGAGTCAGAATCCTTACCACTTGTCTGACAAGTATGATTTTCATGACAATTTCATATTTGTTTATACTTGCCATAGGAAAATGCTGTGAAAACATTACATTGTCATATCTCAGAAAAATAATGATTAGATTTAAGACTCTGATATATTTTAGGAGGTAGGAAACAAAAGCAAGACACATTTTTTTTTTAAGCCAAAAAGGACATTGTATGCGTGCCAAATCAGGGCTTCCTATGAAGCGTGTAATTTAGGTTAAAAAACAAACGTAATGTAAGCTTTTGGCTTGTTAACTTTTCCAGCTCACCCATTTATTTTCATGACTTATCTCCCTGTAAACAGTGTTTACATTTGCAAAGGCCTAAGTCATTCTCTGGACGGAAAAAGGAAAACTGTTAAAATCATGGGAAATGATGACTTTTCAATGGTTGCCAGGGAAGGGCGTGCATACTGCAGTAGGTGTGTATTTTAAAGAGAATTGTAAGCCCTTTGCATGGATTTTGTTGTTGTTGTTTGTTTGGAGCAGAAGTATTTTTGTCTTGAGAAAGATACCTCATGTGATTTGTGGAACCCAAAGCTGCTGCTGTAGATATCGGCATACCTTCTTCATTCACACTGTCCACAGCGGGGCGTGGACAAACCTGTGTATGAGATTTTCTGTGCTGTGATGATTCCCTTGTTCTCTCATGGTCAGAGGCATCTTAGATGCATGTGTTTAACAATATTGTGGCTAAGGCAGAGCTTGTCCAGAAGGCATGCTGGTATGAGTGTTGGTGGCATGTATTCACACACCTGTGGCTCTGTCCTCCACAGATAGCACATCTAAAGGTCAGAGCTACCACAAGAAAGCGATAACTTGCACCCCAAACCTCAAATTTGCTAAATATTGGTTCGAATTGCTCCTGAAACTGGAAGATGCTTCCTGGGAACTGTCGTTCTAATAATTTTCTCTTAGCCTGGAGCTTGTGTGTATTTCTAAAACAACTTAGGATCCTGATTGTAGCCTATTTCCTGCAAAGACTCCTACTAAATGGAGTGTTTGGGAAAGTGTCCCTAAGACCTGGGCCAGATAAGTCACCCAGATGAGTACAGGGAGAGTCCATTAATGTGCCAAACTTCTTCTATTGTGGCCCTTCCTGGTAAGTGATTATTAAGATCAGTTTGGAGGTACCTTCCATCCTCCACTGGATGCTGGTGACTTTCCCTCCATCCCACACTGGACGATGGCGACCTCCCTGATACAGCAAGCATATTTCCTGCAGCCAGGAGGAAGAGGAAATGTGTGGGTCTTTGAAGTCAGGTGGCTGCAAAGCTCTGCTTTTTAGGTTGTTTCACAGAAAATTGATGTTTTCTCTACAAGCTTTTCGGCTTCAGTGCTCTGAGGTAGCAGTTATTTTGTGGGACCTTTCCTGGAGAAATGGACTTGGGAATATTTAAATAGCGGGAAGGCTTGCTATTACACACACACACCAATTCCAGCTTCCCACAGAGTAGTTCAGTCAGCAACATTCCCAAGAGGTATTGTAATAGACTTGTTCTATGCTATTCTGATCACATATGTATTCAGCAGTGGAAGAGACTGAGGCTCCTTTTTGAATATTTTAGGCAAGTTATTGTTGCTTTTGACTAAATTGTTCTATTTACGCATTGAGAATGGAATAGTTTCCGGTCCCCCTTTGTCCATCTTTTGTGCTTTTATCCTCTTGTCTCAGCCTCTCTCAATCCTACCTCTCCAGAAATCCTTACTTGATGGTTTTCACAGTTGTCCCACCTCCCCCGGATGTGAGAGGTCAGAAGAGAGAGCTGGCTGCTAGGTTCGTGAGTCATGCAGGGTCTGGAGCTGCTTATGATTCAGCTTCAAATCGGGATGGGTTGGGTCGCTGCTTTCCCCCACCTCTCAGGTGCACAGAGGTCCAGCTGTGATAGTTCCCTTCTGTTGACTGAAACTCCAGGTCAGGATGCTTCAGATAGGAGAGGACCACCTGCCTAAGTACCTACTTCCTTCCATACCAGGCTACAGAGTCCCTGAGCACCTCCATGCTTTCGATAAAACCTCATTGTGTTTGTAAGAACAATGGGTGTGTGGCTGCATCATGCTCTTGGCTTTATGGGTTTGTTACCTACATGTGTACATATCATGAAGTGTGGGAACTAGAGAAATGCGTGAATGGGATCATTTCCTGGGGAAACTCAGCTGTCCAGCATGTATGTGCCAGTTCTCATTTGTGCTGGTTGCAAATCTTTCTCATGTTTTCAATCTGTAAGTGACTGTGTAGGGAAGTGAGTCAGATCCTTGGCCATTAAAGAGTTGCATGCTGGGTTTCTTCTTGATGACGTGTTGATGATCTGTCTAGTTAATGCCTTGTTTCTTATATGACCATACACAGCAGGTGTCCAATGAGCCTCATCATTGCTGATTGGCTTGCAAATGGTAATTGTACGTGGCTTAAATTGACACCATATTTGAATATTTTGAATATTTTCCCTCTTAAGTGGAAAAGTTGAGGATAAAGAACTGTTTAGAAGGCTTCACATGTTGTGGATATGGGCTGCTTCTGTGTGAGGCTAGCATGTGTCAAGTCACACAGTAGTCAAGGTGTTCTGTTGTTTTCTTGTGCACACGTTGTGCCTCTGATTCTACCTGGTGGCTTTTCTTCTCAGTGTGATGGCTCAGAGGCTGGTCTGTGGGTCTGAGGTAATCCTGTCTATGTGCTGATGACATGCGGAAGCATTAGCAGGCCTGGACATTTACTCCTTGATGGTCTTGGTGGCTGGCTGTGTCCTGTCAGTCCTCGTGCTGGCCCCATGAGCATCCTGGGCTCTTAAGTGCTCTTCTGGGTACAGTGACAGTAGTATGGCCACAGGAATGAGTGAGGAGAGGGGAAGGGAATGAGCTTTCCACCTCTACATGCCCTGTAGAAATGACTCCCTCTAGATTTTCTGAACCTGCACAGTGCTGGCTGGGGCTGGCAGCCGCACGAGAGTCTATCCTATTGCTCAGGCTTATGACATCACCTTGGGTCTTTCTGCTGGAGAACAGACTTCTGGACATTGCAGGCTATACTATGTAGCTTCAGATTCTGAGGAATTGGAGACATCAAAGTATTGAAAAGACTTTGAGTCTGGGCTCCACCATGCTAGTCCTCTAGCAACTTGGAGTGTGGGAGTCAGTGTGATGACCCCTGGTTGGCTGAGCTTTGAGTGCTGTAGGTCTCTTTGAGGTGCTGTCTACCACAGTACTGCATTTCAAAAGCTTAGATGCCGATTATGAAGGCTGGTTTATTTACGTGGCATCCGATGCCCGTGGCTCTGCAAAGCGTTTTCTCCCTTAGCTTGTTTTGGGTATTGGAACTGCTCAGCCACATGGTGACAGAGGGGGAATTGTGGGTAACTCTTCCCTGTAGCAGAGTCTCAGGCTGGGCCAGCCTTTCCAGGCACAGTTGACCCTGTGGTCCCCTGTCCTTGCGTCCTAAGAAGGAAGAGATTTGCTAGTGACTGGAGTCAGTGCCAGTCCTGGACCTTCAGGGGGACTCAAGAAATCAGGTTCCTGGAATTGCTCAGGATCTGTGGACGACAAGTGCACAAACCCTCGCTGAACTGTTCGGAAAACCCCAGGTGGGTCCCAGGGCTTGCTTCTGGGGGTTTCTGCACTTCTGGGGGTTTCTGCACTTCTGGGGAGTTCTCCAGGGGAGGACAGTGGGGATGAGATTGTCGGCCAAGCAGCTTCCCCTTCCTCGTTCTATAGGTGACTTCTGGTTCAGCCAACCACAGGCATCTGCGAACTATTCCTCGAAAAGAGTGAACACAAGGCATGTGCTGTTCACTGGCCTATGTGAATTTTTCTCATCCTTCCTCACTCGCTGCCTCTCAAACGCCCCTTTGATTGCCCTCTCCTGCTCTTTCCTTAGCTTCAGCCGTAGTGGCACACTTGGGGAGATTCTGTCGGTGAGGAGGGGTAGCCAGAGCTTGGCCATGCTTCCTATACCCTCTGAGAACTTACTTCTGGTGTGTTGGGTGTGTGTTGTTACTTCTGAAATGCCCTGACTCAGTGGCGGAGGTGTGCAAGCAGAATGAGAGCCATCTCAACTCCGGAGCTGGCCTCCCAGATCAGTATCATTAGGGTCTCTTGGGCAAGTTCCACCACACTGTGCTCTGGAGGCCCCTGAACCCCCTGCCCTTCACCAGATCCTCCTCTATAGGAACACCCTAGCTGGTGACTGAGTCTCCACAGCCACTGTCATATTCTTCCTGGCATGCCGCAAGACAAGATGAGCTGTCGGTGCCTCAGACCCAGGGGATAGCTGGCGACCTTGAGGAACCAGGGCGATCTTGTTACAGAACTTGCCACCTCAGGTGTTACTGATGAATGAAGGATGCCAATTACAAACAGCCGAGGTTCAAGAAGGTAGAACTGGGAGGGGCTTCATCTAACTAGACCGGAAGGAATTACTGTGAACAAATGGTGACTGGACAACATTGTGAAAGCCACCCAGCGCTGACTATGAGAGAGTCTGTGTGACTGAAGGCAAGCAGGGTTTTTTTTTTTTTTTTTAATCTTCTTTTTTTGATCCCAAAGGATGCTGGTTATATGGATGTAGCAAAGAAACCAGCTTCCACGAGCAAGCTTAAGGGCAGGCAGCAGCATACAAGCTTCTTGGGTGTCTGTGTTCTGGGTCTCTCAGCTTCTCAGCCAGCGAGGAACCGGTTCTTTACGTGTGTGAGGGGAGTAAACAGTCTAGGTTTCAGATTTTTTTTGCACAGAGCTAGCGTGGATAAAAGATTAAAGGCAACAGCTCCAGAAATGAAGCCTAATTATAACACAGACGTATTCAGAAGCTTTACGTGGGGGTTTGCAAGTGCTGTTTTCCGTGTTTTAACTTTCTAGTGACTAACTTTCTTAAGTCCTCACATCATGGGGAGACTGGGAAGCTGACGGAGAGAGCAAGCATCCAGTTCTGTGTCTGTTGCTTGACATCCCTGCATTTCTCAAGTTCTGTCTGCCTGAGCCCCAGGGCCGTGAGCACTGGAGGGAGGAGCATGGCTGGGAGGACTCCTTTGGGGTCTAAATTCTTTTGGCAAGTTATTCTTGGGGATACCGTGTTAGAGATCCTCATCTGTAGTGGAAGGTTCTGGAAACTTGAGTTGAGACTTGGAGTCTCAAACTTGGAATGATGTGGGAAGTTCAGAGAGCCCTGCTCTCCCTTCCCTGGGAGCAGAGGGCCTGGGGTTTAATGGAGGAGCCGAGGGACTCAGGATGTGGGTGCCCCTCCAGCCTTAGCCTGTGGGTTGATGGGAGCCAGGATGAGTGCATCTACAGCATTGACTGCGGTGTTCATGCTGGTGATCCGAAGTCACAGGTCAAGAGCCGCCAACCGGCTTCTAGATCAGAGGGTAAAGAACCCGGGCACTGGGGTGTCTGATACAAGGCTTCCATGTGTCCAGGGTTTAGAAAACTACTCACAATGATTGATGGGCCTCTAAGGCCCAACTTAATGGCTCTAGGGGAAAATAAAGTTGACATGGAATTTAAATCGCTTCAAATTTCTACTGTTCAACTACTGGTATTGAGGTAATCGCAGAAACACAGGTTTCCAGAGCCTTGGGGACTGTAGAGATTGTGACAGTTCTTCTCAAAAGAAGGATTTCATGGCAAGGGCATGTCAATTTCTTCCCCCCTCCCTTCACACCCCCCGCCCCCTGCATCCTAACACAAAAGTTTAAAACAATATTCACAATTGTTACATAAGAAGTTTTGAAGTCAGTGTTTTAACTCACTGTTAAATATGTGCATGTCTTTGCCTATATTATTATCTCCAAGAGATAAACATAATATTGCTGTGGTTCTCTGTAGTTAAAGCTTTTGGTTAAACAGGGAAAGTAAAGAAAAAAAATCTATGTATGCTGTAATTTGACTTTTACTAATGATATTGCTTAAATGCTGCTATTAAACACTGGTGTGAGTTGCCTGATGCCTGATGCTGTTGTCCTTGTTCCTTAAGGAGCTGTCAATCAAATGTATCTCATAATGACAACTCTAGCATGAATGCCATTAGACTTACGAAGCAAAAACACCAAAAATTCAGAGTCTGTATCCCTGCACTTAAGCCAAATAAGCCCTTCTGAGGTCTCTCCACCCTCATGTTCTGCATGGAATCTACACTTCGTGATTTGAACTGATTTTCTTAAATGAAAATAAAATTTGTTCTTTGAAATGTCCTGACGGGAGTGTACTTCCCCACTGCAGCTGGATCGAAGTTGTGTCATTTTTTAAAGTTTGAGAACACAATGGGAAGTTGTTGAAGTGTGTAGGTTTCACTGGAACTGAATGCTCTGTGTGAAACAGACTGAGTCACGATGATGGAAGGTTGACACCTGCGTTTGCAAATACTTTCTTACTTCCCTCTTTTTATTATTTCGTCTTCTTTATGTTTACTTTTGGTCTTGTTCTTTTAAAAGCTATTTTGATTACTTTTAATGTTTAATTACTATGTGTGTGTGCTTGTGCATGGAGGTGTTCATGGAGCTCCCTAATTAGAAATAACCGCAGAAATAACCAGCGGTCACCCCTGAAAGCATATGCATACAAGTAGTACTAAATGGGTTGATCAGGTTATATACATGTAGCAATACACATTAAAGAAAAAGAGGTTATGATCTCAAGAGGGTGCAAGGGGGTTTACATGGAAGGAGTTGTAGGGAAGAAAGAGATGAGGGAAATAATGCTATTATATTTTAATTTAAAAGTTACTACACAAAAAACCAGTGCTCTTTCCAATGTCCTTCTCCTGCCTTCATTTTTTTATTTAGATCATTATTTTTCTATTTAATGAAAAATTGCTTTTCATTTTAATCTTAGTTATGTACAGTGATACAAACTGATAGATTGCTTACCAGTGGATTTTTTTTCTTTTACATTGGATGTATTATCTCTTAGCCCCCCCTTTTTTTTGTATATTGAATTCTGCTTTTTGATTGACTTATGTGTCAGGGTGCTGGTCCTATGTGGATGTTTTTATTGATAATGATTGAACACATTTATGAAGTTCACTGTGATGTTTTCATGAGTGAATACATTGTAATGATTCAGTCAGGACACAAAGCACATTTACCTTTTCTGTGATAAAATATCCTGACAAAAACAACCTGTCTTCGTTACTTTTCAATTTCTGTGACAAAGCACCATTACCAAGGCAACTTGTAGAAGAAAGACTTTATTAGGGACGTCAGCAGATGAGTCCATGGCCATCATGGTGAAGAGCTAGGTGGCAGGCAGGCAGGCATGATGCTGGAGCAGTAGCTGAGAGCTCACATATGATCCATAAGCATGAGGCAGAGAACACCTCCTGGGAATGGTGTGAGCCATACCCTAGTGACACGCCTCCAAAAGGCCTCATTTTCTAATCATTCCTGTAGCTGGAGAATTTTCTCTCCAGGTCCCACCAAGCCCCGGCAGTCCGACAGCCCACTTATAAAATAAACACACAGATGCTTATATTATTTAAACTGTTTGGACTAATGGCTCAGGCTTCTAGCTATCTAGTTCTTACATCTTAAATTAATCCATTTCTATAAATCTATACCTTGCCACGTGGCTCGTGGCTTACCGGCATCTTCATATGCTGCTTGTCATGGTGGCGGCTGGCAGTGTCTCCCTCCTCAGCCTTCCACTTCCCAGAATTCTCTCAATTCTCCTCTCTGTTAGTCCTGCCCTTACTTCCTGCCTGGCCACTAGTCAATCAGTGTTTTATTTATTGACCAATCAGAGCAATTTGACATACAGACCATCCCACAGCACATTCCTAAACAGTCCATCAACTAGGGACCAGGTATTCAACCATGTGAGCATAAGGGAGCCATTCTCGTTCAAACTACCACACAACTTAAGGAAGAAAAAGTTTATTTTGGTTTACAGTTGCAGAGGACTAGAGTTACTTGTGATGGGGAAGGCACGGGGACAGGCAGACAAGGCATCTTTGTGGAAGCAGGAAGCTGGCTGATTACTCTGCATCTCTACTTAGGAATGGGAATGAGGATGGGGCCAGGCTATCAGCCCTCAAAGCCTGGCCCCAATGACATACTTCTTCCACATAGGACCTACCTCCTGAAGGTTCTATAACCTTCCCAAATAGTGATGCTGAGGATTAAGTATTCCTATGTATGAGCCTATAGAGGACATTTCATGTTGAAACCACATCACCCAGAAATGGTATAGTTGGATAATATGGTAGTTCTGTTTAAAATTTTTATGAGGAACTTCATATTTCATGTTCCATAAAAGTGAAATGGGTGTTTGTGATCATTGAGCCTAGCTATTTCCAAACTTTTGGAAATAAATAAGGATATTTTTCACATAAATAACCCCACAGTTATATTGAGGACTAACTGTGTTTTTCATATGTACTGATGGATAAAAGTGAAAAATGGGATTGTTGACCAATATCTCTCTTGAAAATCAATAAAACATCATGGTTTGTATCCAGCAATATTTACTTGACAATATCGAAGAGTATGAACTTTTTAAGCATTTTTAAAAATCACTTAAACAAGGCAACTCTGTGAAATGATGGATATGTCAATTTGCTTAACTACTATCATTTTACCGAGTGTATGTGTATCAAGACACCACCTTTCAACCCTTAAATATATACTATAACAGAAAGATTTATGCTTCATGACTGAGTAAGGTTCACTCCAAGATACAAGACTGATAAACATTTAATGCCATTCTAGTTATCCACTGTATCATTAGTCTATTAAAACATGATATAAATATAGATGATATATGGGTCTATTCCAACAGCCAATCATGTTGGCACACTCAGCAAATTAACAGTAAAGGAAATGCCTGGACTCGACAACATCAAACAACAATAACAACAACAACAACAACAACACTCCAACCCCCTAGAGCCCTCATCATAGTCATTGACAAAATATTGGATGTTTCCCCCTCTATCCAGGGAAAAAGGCAAGGATACAATAAAAAAAAGGCTTAGCCATTGCAATAAGGAAAGAAAAATCTAAGTCACAAAATAGATCAAAGGGGTAGGACTGAAGTGTCTCTATTTGCAACTGACAGCATTGTCTGTGGAGAAATTCTTTGAAACCCACAAAGAAAGCTCCTTAAATGGTTAAATGATTTTAGCAATATACACAAACTATAAAACAAAACAAAACCCACTACAGTGAATCAATTACCTTTGGACAGTTTGTGCTTTATCAAACCACAACCTGCAGGCATTTATAAACACTGAGATATATTCTTTATTTTAGAGTGTTATTTCAAATGTGCATGGAAACATCAGACCTCTTCCCTTGAATTAAAGACTCATTTGCAGCCTTGAAGCAGGATGATTGGCCATGAGATGCCAGAGCAGAGACCTCATGTCTACTGTCTCCACCACAATCATTGCTTGAAGGTTACTGACCTGAAAGCTATCTTGAGCACAACGATGCTTTTAACACTTCCTGCTCCACAGGAAGTCCTTGATCCTAGATTTGTGATGCTGAAACAGGGTTGCACACTATCAAACATTTCACCGTCACGTTTATTGTCTTTAGTGAGATTTTCTCTTTAGTTATATAAGAAAAGCTTGTGGTACATAGAAGTTGTTAACTACTGTGAAGACAATTTAAAAAAATACACTAAATACTGTCATGTTTGGAATAAATAGCACTAGTGGATAGTTTATGGTTACTTTAAGTGAAAAATACTTGCCTAAAAATTCAATAGACTTGGAAGTTAGAAGAAAAGTCATCTCTTCAGCAAGCCATTTAAATATGTGTTTTCTATGGGGACTGGAGAGATGGCTCAGTGGCTAAGATCATTTGCTGCTCTTCCAGAGGACCTGAGTTTGGTTCCTGGCACCCATGTCCTGTGGCTTACAACCACCTATACCTCTAACTCCAGAAGATGAGAAGCACCTGCACCCACATGCACATACTAATATGTGCACACACACACATACACACCAATAAAAATAAATCCCAAAAGGTTTTTTCTAAAATCATCTTCCTTTAGTACTGGAGGAAAAAAAGATCTATCCCTAGTATTATTGGAGCCGGCGGCCACTTGAGCCACCCATCCCCAGGAGGTGAACTAAAGAGATAAGTGATAGTTATACCATAGTACAGGAGTGCCATTCACAGTGTGAAGAGGGACAAGGAGGTCCAGTGACGCCCAAGTCCATCTTTGGGATCCTGGCTTCAGTTCAGTCTTAGAGGGCGAGAGGCATGATGGCGAAGCAGTCCTGGTAAAGGTGTGCTCCTTCCCATCACAGCCCATCCTTGTCTGGATCCTAGTTTCTTCTGAAAGGTGGTCTGACAAGATGTCAGAACTGTGTGAAACCACTTCATGGGAGACAAGTTCCTCCTCTGGCTGGCCCCAAGCTTTTCCTTCTCTCAGTATGAGATTCCTGTGGAAATCCCAGTTCCCTGGACATCTTCTTTTTCGGTAGTTGGATAGCCAAAGGGAGAGGCACAAGTGTTGCCGAATAATTTCATTCCTTTCAGGAAGGTTGCAACAATGGCATCTTGAAGCCTTTAGCCATGGGGACAGAAGGGTTGAAGTTCCACATGTAGGGCACCCATCGAGCTGTCGGCAGGGAGGCATGTCTCCTCTGTCCCACACCCCTGGTGACACACTCTTGCTGCAGTGGCTCCTGCTGCTCTCTCTGCCTTACATGCCTGTGTCAGCTGCGTCCTTGAGGGTGTCGCCAGATTTTTGAAGGGTTGTATTCCTGTATAACCAGGGCTGCAACCATATGCTGTGGTCTCAGGTCAGAGAGGCTATCTTTAGTAAAAAATATCTGTGACTATTTTTATATGAATAGAACTCTTCTGAGGAGTACTTACTCTTTCTTGGGAACATTCTCATTTTGCAAGCTTAAATGGCCATACTTAAAGGTAAGCCTGGTTTTTTATGCTATTATGTGAAATGTGATTTGAACATGTTTGACCGATGGGACTAACTTTGAGAGGAGAAAATTCTAGTAAAGCGTAAAATAGAAGCCTTAATATATGCATGTAAGTGGTTTGCTAACCTTTGAAATCTAGCTTAACCAGGAAATGTGTTGTATTGCTTCTTAGCTGGAGGCAATTTGTGACGCATTTCTCCTAAGAAGTGAGGAGAGAATGAATGAAATTCTTGGAGTTTGTTTCTGAATGTTCCTACATTTGTTACACAGTATAGCTGGAATATAGTACATTGATATCTG